GTATCGGATGAGCCACAAGTAGGATCATCCCTAGGTGTAGAATGGGCATCAAGGATCAAAAGTAGGATCATTCGCGAGTGAATAGACGAGTCGTATCGAGATTGTTTATGGATTCAGCTGCTATTTCTACATAAGAAGACTATGAAAGAAATATCATAGTGAAATTATAGAAAAAGATGATACTTTACCAGAAGCAAGCAGGCATGCGGTAGGTCCGAAAGTGAATATAGAGACGTTATCCACAGTTGATAATACAGTATTAAATCTTGCCTGTTGCCTGGCATTGTGTGAGTTTATGGTTACCGGTTGATCGAGCTGGTTGAGTTTGGTTCCCGTGCAGTGCCGTGACTGCCGTGTATGTCAGCCTAGTGCACGAGCCATATCTATAATCTACTTTTCACATGTTCAGTGTGATGTGATATTTAGACGGGTCATGTCTTTGCACAAGTTTCTTTCAATTGAAGATTAAAATGTCAAAAATGAATTCGAAAGACAAAGATAATAAAACGTTGCACGATAAACTCAAGCAATTTTTCCGCATAAATAAAGGTAAGTCTATTACGTTTCGGACATGTCGTGTGTTTTACCTTACGTCCGATATATTTATCATCATATCGACCGGCTTTGCAGGAAGTTACAAGAGTCGCGAAGAGTTTACACTGACGTATGATATCGAGAAAGAAATTAGTCCTGATAGTCCGGTGCATCATCGTACAAAAGCGATTAAAGAACTTCGCGAGGCGGTGCTCAATCAACAGTGGGAAGATGTATGTATACACAGAGAGCGTCGCTTTATTACATTTCTACTCCATTTCTTTCTACTAATAGAGAGCAGCGGAACGTTTGTGGAATTTAGTTCAAGATTTGCTAGGAAAGGACGTTCCTCGCGAACACAGGCATTTAACGTTGAATTTTTTAAAATGCCTCGTGCAAGGACAATATTCCAAGCTTTCGTCACTGATGCGCGTCAAGTTTTTCATGGTAGTGAAGGAATATGATATTCCCGAAGACATTGGTCCAAGGTATTCCAATTACCGCTCTCTCTCTCTCTTTTCACATTTGCTCCATCTTAAATCTTTAAATCTTTCAGATTGGAATTGTTACAAACATTAACGGAACATGGAAAAGATATTTTACATTTGGAAGAAAGAATGGGCCCTTTCCTATTGGAATGGATGCCTACGGTAACAGCGGGAGATGGGAAAAGAGGAGCCGAGTTTTTGTCTCTTCTTGTCAATGTCATCAAATTCAATTCGGCTTACATCGACGAGGATATTGTATCTGGTCTTGTCCAGTAAGTGTCTTGGAAATTATTTTCTATTCTATATTTAAGTACTTTATAGTCACATTATTGTAATTGCAATCCCTGCAGGTACATCTCCCATCTGTGCTACTATAGTAACAATACCGATGTCGTTTCTGGATGTTTGGAAGCTCTTGACGCAATTATGTGTTATAGTAATTTGCAGTCTGACTCGCTACAAACTTTTATTATAGCCTTGTGCAGAAGCGTCAATGTTGAGACTTATTGCCAAACAAGTTGGAAGGTACATAAATCTATAATACTATACATACGTATAGAATGGTGACACATTGTAATTTGCAGATTATGCGAAACTTATTAGGAACACATATGGGTCATTGTGCTTTGTATACAATGTGCCACTTGTTACAAGATACAAACTTTCAACGTGACGTTCGTCTATTACGAGGTGCAGTGTTTTATGTCAATATGGGTTTATGGGGTACGCACAGAATACCAAAATTGGAGTGTACACCGGCATCTGTTTTACCTTCCTTCTATCAGGTATGTATGCACATATATGGAATATTTGGTACATTGACTGTATCGACTACATTAACAGGCTCTCCAATGCAATCATCCAATCGTTATGTACGAAGTTACTCTATCGATACAAAGATTGGTGAATAAGTATGGCAATGAACTTTGGGATCCTA